CAACCGGTGGAAAAGCAATCTCGGGCACCGCGACCAAAGCAGCCCGCTGTGTTTGATTTCCAGTTTTATCCACCACGTCTGATGGAACTCTTGGATCGCGAGACTTATCACTATAGGAAGACTATAGGATACAAGGTAAACATGACGTTATCAGCACTATAATTTATTGCGTAGCCGAAATTTACGACTCTAAGTCTCCGATGTAGGGAGCCGGTGTTCCAATGGGTGAGTCAGGTTCATCGTAATCGAGGCTCATTCCTGCGTTTATCTTCTTTGCAATCTAAAAATGAGTTTATAATGGAACGAACATAGATAATAGCCGAAAAGCAGACTTCTGTTTCTTCCTCGAGACTCGTGTCTGATCCCCAGATGCTATCATGCTCCCCGTCATTGTCTTCCAATAGATCATCTGGAAATTTAATCAATGTAGGCTTCTTGCCCGCGTTCTTTATGGGGAAGACGAGATATTGGGTTTCCTGGAAGCTGTTCACATCGTCAAGGCTTCCCATGCTGCAAATAAATGCATTTTACCCAATTGCAGCCGCAACATCTATGGAAATGACCTCATTTTTCGTTCACATGAAGAACTTCTACTAAAAGTAGAAGGTGGTCGACCCGTTGATGTTGCAGCAGATGTAGGAGCTGGCGGAATTTCTTCTTGACTTTCGCTGTTTGTTTCTATGGGAGGGATCTAAAAAAATTATTGGATGTAGAAGAAGTTTGTTTATACTTTGGCGCCATACCTTTACTGTTCTCCGTTTTGTCATTCCGCGAGGATATGGTGTTCTCGGAGGGCCACGATGATCTCCCTTTAAGTTGCTCATACTTTGCGTAAGGCGAAGATTAGGTTCAGAATGCTGGGGTTCAGTAGCTTTGACGCCTGGAATGTAGTTCCTTTTCCGAGATTTTTTTTCAGATTTATTGCTTAGTTTTTGAAAGATCAGAAGCACTTCATTTATAGCTGAGTTTTAGCAGAATCATGATTATTGTGTCAAAAATTTCTCCGCTGTCTTGTGGAAGAAGATTATATCATGTCGTCATACATGCTGATATCAAAGTCTGATCCACCAGGATAATCGTATGAGCCTCAAATCGGGATTGAAAATAACATCTAATTAGGCTAATGTATAGTGAGTA